TATATGTATTTTTAATGTTTTGTTTTAGATGTAACAATTTGTTTATAAAATACCCATGTGTAACATACACAATAGAAAATATTATTAATAATTATCGTATAGCGTTAAAATAATCGTGATATCATTTTCAATACGTCGTAAGAAAGTAATTTCGTAATTTTTTTCTTTTTAACATCTACCTCAATCGTATCGGAAATAAATAATAATTAAAATCAAAAATTGTTGAGGGACAAAATCTTTTGAAGTCGATGAAAGAAATGAATTGTACGATCTATTTGATCACGAACAAACAGATTTTGATTTTGATTTTTTATCGAAAGAACATTCTTGCCAATCATCAACAACATTTGACGTGAAAGTGTGTATTCATTCTTGCGATAAAGTAAGAATAAAGAAAGATAAAGTCGACGACTTTTCTCGGTCATTGACTTTACTAACGAGCCCAGTATCCAAAGTTCTTCCGTCCGTCTTCTTCTTCTCTTTCTTCTTCTTCTTCCTCTTCATCTTCCGTATGTTACACTTTTCTCTTCTTTTATCCTTAACAAAAGTCGACTAGAGTTTGTAAAAGAAAGAGAAAGAGTATATTGCATATAATTGGTCTTCCAACGCGTTCTCGCATTTTCTTGATCCCAATTTATTTTACGCAAACTACGTTGAACTAAAAAAATAACACGTACTAATATTCATACGTATTTTTTAATATTAATATAAACAAACAATTACTTTTTATTGAAAATATTTTCCATTTAAATAATTCTAATAATTTATAGTGTGAAAATAAAATAATATAAAATACAATATACTATAATTATTATAATGTATATTATTAAAATCAATTATTAAAATTAAATATATATTATAAATATACATTTATAATAAGTCAACCACCCTAACTACGTTAAATTACTCGTTCCATTTAAATCATTAATATCAAGCTACGTGAATACGGTTAAAAAATGGATAAGAGACTCATTCAGAATAAACAAATAAACAAGTCTTTGATAGTATTAGATAAACGTGAGGAGGTTTTTATAGAAAAATGACTTCAAACTCTCATTTATTTATAAAAAGAATATATATATATATATATATATATTAGGGTGAGTCAAAAAAATCAATTATTTTTTTTTTTACAAGTGCCACGGAAAAATGGTTTGCTAGACACTTTAAAAAAATTTTCACCAAATATGAGCTCGTAATTTTAATAGGAAGATCCTCCGTATCGCAGTTTTTTATTTTTTTCTCAGTCAAATAGAATAAAATTCATACCTCATCATTAATTGATTGTACAGAAAAATGTTCTGGAAGAATTTTGTAG